GCTGCACAAAAAACAGATGTATTTGGCCTGTGGGCTGTAGTTTCCTCACCCCTGTGTAGAACATTTGAAAATTAGTTTTAGATTGATTCTTAGAGTTTCATAATGAGAATGTCTGTTGGGGTGGTTTGGGAAATTTCTGAATGGAGATGCCTTTAAAAAAATCACAATTAATGAATTACTAGAATAAACACATATATTACATATAGTCATTATTATATAGTATATATGTTTTCTTTGTGTATATTGAAATTATAAAGAAATTAACAATGAGATTGATTAAATAGAACACACAACAGTAAAGTGATAGAGAAACCAGATAGTTAATCTAATTGGTAATCAGCCCAATTCTACAAATATCCATTCTATTTAAAAAAAATGGCATTGGCAAGACCATCTACAGTAAGACGGTGTAATTGTAACTTTTCTTTTTGTTTTAAAAAAGAAAAATATCACTAGAATTTTCTGTCCTTTAGAAAGCATTAGTGAAGAATGTATGCCTTATTTTCTGTTCTATTTTTGCTGTAAAATTTGGGAGTTCTTCAATCAAAGCATAATACTCTACAGGCATATTTCTGACATAAAATACCCCAATTTACTCAATTTGTTCATACCCTTTTCATAAAAGCCTTTATTTTAATACTTAAAAAATACCTAAAAGGCATAGTGTGATGTTTTCAAAAAATGACATTTCATTGGCTTTGTAAGATTTAGATAAAATTGAAAATGCTAAGTCATTCCAACTCTAATTCAAAATGTTATTTTAGGGGTGTATAGCACTTTAAAGTTTTCAAAAATACTTTTATATAATTGTCTTTTATATTTACAACAGCATTGTAAAGGGAGATGGTGCAGGCATTTTTCTCTGTTTTATTGATTGTGGAAACCAAGGCTCATAAAGAAGAACTTACCTGTCTATGGTCTTATGGCTCAAAAGCAAATGGAAGGACTTGATATTAAGTCTTGGTGTTAATTTAGTGTGCTTCTAACAATATTATTATCCCTGACACAGTGCCCAGTAGATTGCTTTGCACGTTGAAAGAACTGTAAATGTTGTTTCTTGATTGATTTCTTTTAGGACTAAAGTAATACTGAAGTCTATCTCAGGAAACTTGAAAATCTATCAGAATTCACATTTAATACTAGTGGTGTATGTATGAAAGATTCGGGTCGATTTCATTTACATTGTATTTATATGTGAATTCTCAGGTATATGCTAATTAGCAGAGTTTCTAAAGCAGTGCTTTCTCCACACTAATTTTTAATTAGTGTATTTAGCACTTACAGTCTTTTCCCTCCAAAAGGACTGCAAGAATTCTGAAGGCAGTGATCATGTCTAAATATTAATACTCCCTTCCCATCCCCAAGTTCTTTAAAAAAGATAGAGTGGTTTAGATAGAAGGCAGCAGGTGTTTATGGACAGAATGGGGTGGCTCAAGGAAGACAGGGAAATATTAGTTACCCCTCCCCCCCATGACTCCCCCCACCCCAAACAAGTCTTCTTATTTACAGCTAGGCTTAGACTCTCCAGGCAACCATGCAGATTAAAAAAAACAACACTAATAAATCAGAAATAACAACTCTGTGTCTTGGTTGCATGCTATTCATCTTTGTGCCTTGAGTTAGGTAATTCAACCCAGCTAGTTATAGGCAGTCACCCACTTAACGATGGTTTGACTTACGATTTAATGGTGTGAAAGCCATAATCATTCAGTAGAGTTTTGAATTTTGATTGTTTCCCAGACTAGTGATATGTGGTAGGATACTCCCTCGTGATGCTGGGCGGCGGCAAGTCCTAGTCAGCCACGTGACCATGAGGGTAAACAACTGATACACTTCCACCATCCTCTCTCTCTCTCTCTTTTTTTTAACTCTTGGTATGATATTCAGTAAATTACATGAGATGGTCAACATTTTATTATAAAATAGGCTTTGTATTAGATGATTTTGCCCACCTGTAGGCTAGTGTGAATGTTCTAAGCATGTTTAAGGTAGGCTAGGCTAAGCTATGACATTCGGTAGGTTAGGTGTATTAAATGCATTTCAACTTAGGATATCTCTAATTTGCGATGAGTTTATCAGGAGGTAACCCATCGTAAGTCAAGGAAAAACTACAATTACTTTTTTTTAAGATTTTATTTATTTATTTGAGAGAGAGAGAGAGCGAGAGAGAGCACAAGCAGGGTGGGGCGTGGAGGGGGGGCTGTTGAGCAGAGAGGGAGAAGCAGGCTCCCCGCTGAGCTGGGAGTCCGATGCAGGGCTTGATCCCAGGGCCCTGAGATCATGACCTGAGTCAAAGGCAGATGCTTAACCGACTGAGCCACCCAGGCGCCCCTGCAATTACTTTGTAAGGTTAGCTCATTCATTTGTAGGTTTACAGTGTTAGGCAAAGTATTGCTTAAAAAGTTTTTCCTAAATTTTCTTTTTTTGGGTAAACAGCTTTATTGACATAAAATTAATAGACAATAAACTGTACATGTTTACACAGCTTATTATATATTTAAAGTATAAATTGATAAGTTTTTCTATATGAAATCACTCATAAAATCATCACCCTAATAAAGAAAATGAATATATTGCCAATCACAAAATTGCTTCCCGCCCCTTTGTAACCCTACCCACTGCCCCTACCTGTGGTCCCTACCACCCTCATCACCCTCCACTGCCCCAGGCAATGAATGACCTGCTTTCTGTTACCGTAGGTTACTTTGTATTTTCTAGGATTTTATATAAATGCAATCATACAGTACTTTTGTCACGCTTTCATGCAGCATGATTATTTTGAGAGTTATCAATGTTGTATGCATCCATTAGTAGTTCATTCCTTTCCATTGTGAAGTAGCATTCCATTATATGGATATACCACAATTTGTTTATCCATTCACCTGTTAATGGACATTTGAGTTACTTACGGTTTTTGGCTATTACAAATAAAGCTGCTACAAGTCTCTGTGTTTGTTTGTATATGAGTCTCTGAGAGGACATATACTTTCATTTCTCTTGGATGACCACCTGGGATAGAATGTGTAAATCGTATGGTAGGTGTAATTTTAACAACTTAAAAATTACTAAACTATTTTCCAAAGTTGTATCATTTTACATTCCTACCAGCAGTGGATCAGAGTTCCAATTTCTTCACATCCTTATAATTAATTTTTAAAATTTTAGCCATTCTAACATGTGGATAGTGGTATCATTGTGGTTTTAATTTGCATTTCCTGAATAACAAATGACCTTGGGCTTCTTTTCACATGCTTATTTTCATTCATTTATCTTCTCTAAGTGCATGGTGAAATCTTTGCCTATTTTTTAATTGTATTGTTTGTTTTATTATTATTGAGTTTTGAGAGTTCTTTATATCTTCTGGAGACAAGTCCTTTATCAGATAGATAATTGAGAAATACATTCTCTCAGTCTATGGCTTGTCTTCTTGTTGTTCCATAGTGTCTTACTTTCAAAAAACAGAGTTTTCAATCTTGATAAGAATCCAGTTTATCAGTTTGTTCTTTTATGGATCATGCTTTTGGTGTTGCATCTGTGGAAATGTTACCTTACTGAAGGTAACAAATTTTTGTCCCCATGTTCTCTTCTAGAAGTTTTATGGCTTTAGGTTTTACTTTTTTTTTTTTAAAGATTTTACTTATTTATTTGACAGTGAGAGAGAGAGAGAGACAGTAAGAGAGGGAACACAGCAGGGGGAATGGGAGAGGGAGAAGCAGGTTCTCTGCTGAGCAGGGAGCCTGATGTGGGGCTCGATCCCAGGACTCCGGGATCATGACCCGAGCTGAAGGTAGACGCTTAATGACTGAGCCACCCAGGCACAGGTTTTACATTTGAACTGATGATCCATGTTGAATTAATTTTTGAATCTGGTGTGAGCATGGATTGAAATTTGTTTTGTTTTGCATATAGATATCCCATTGTTCCACATGACTTAATGAAAAGATTACCCTTTCTCCACAGAACTGCTTTTGCACCTCTGTAGAAAGAAGCTGGCTGTCCATATAAGTGTTGGTCTCTATTCTGTTCCATTAATCTATTTTTCTGTCTTTATACTAATACTCTGTTGGCTTGATTATTGTGGTTCATTAGCTATAACTCCTTGTTTTATTATTTTAGTGGTTGCTTTAGGATTTATAATATAGGTTTTTAACTTATTACAATCTAATGGATATACCTCTAAGTAATATCATCGCACTTCATGTATAGTATGAGAACATTAAAACTGCACACTTACGTTACGTCTCTCTCCCCCAAGCTTAGAGCCAGTGTCACACATTATACTTCTACCTGTGTTATAAACCCTACACTCCATGGTATTATTTTTGCTTTAAGCAGTCAGTAGATATTTACCCTTTTAAAGTTATTTTCATTTCTTTTTATTTTTGAAGATTTTATTTATTTATTTGAGAGAGAGAAAGAAAGAGGTAGCGAGAGAGAGCACGAGTGGGGAAGAGAGGGAGAAGCAGACTCCCCACCGAGCAGGGAGCCGGATGTGGGGCTCGATCCCAGGACCCTGAGATCATGACCTGAGCCGAAGGCAGATGCTTAACTGACTGAGCCACCCAGGAGCCCCAGTTATTTTCATTTTTTGTGTGGAATCAGATTTCCATCTGCTGTCATTTCCTTTTTGTCTGATGGACTTTCTTTGGCACTTTTCATAATGCAGATCTGATGGTGACAAATTCTTTCAGTTTTGGTATGCCTGAGAAAAGCCTTTATTTCATGTTTATTTTGAAAGGTATTTTCTCTGGGTATAGAGTTTTAGGATCACAATGCTACTTTCCTTTTGGTACTTGACTATTGCTTCACTCTCTTCTTGCTGCTATTATTTCTAATGGCTAACCTGCTTGAACCCTTATCTTTGCGTCTCTGATATAATGTATCCAGTTTTTTCTAGATGCCATTTAAGCTGGATGTCCAAAACAGTTCACCTCAGTTTGGATTTTTGTCATGTATTTTTGTCACCTATGCTAATATTTGGCTCTTTCTTTTGCACGTAGGCCTGAAGCGTTAGAAGAGTCACCTCTGGTCCCCCAGAAAGGCAGTTTTCAGATTGTTCAGTGCAACTGCAGTGTTCACGACAGCTGTGAATGCCATGTGCCTGTGCCAACCGCCAAACTCAACCACACTCTCCTTCTGTATTTGAAAATCACGTCTGGTGGAATAAATTTTCAGTCACCTCTAATGTCAGTTCAGCCCATAAATGTTGGTAAGTCATGCATAAAAAATGTATTATATCTAAACATCAGCCACACAAACAGGTTAAACATTGCTTACAAAAATTTTCAATAGCTTCTCTTGCTTTGACCAATGCGGTCAGGACAGCAAATATAGAATTGAGGAGTATTAAAAGCAGCTTCTAGAATGTTTTAAGAGTAGTATAGATGATCTCTGCAGTTGTAACTTGAATTCTTTCTTTCTTTTTTAAAGATTTACCCATTTATTTTAGAGAGAGCGAGAGAGCAGGCATGAGTAGGGGGAGGGGCAGAAAGAGACTCTTCAAGCAGAGTCCCCACCGAGCGCGGAGCCTGATGAGGGGCTTGATCCCATGACCCATGAGATCATGACCTGAGCCAAAACCAAGAGTCAGACGCTTAACTGACTGAGTCACCTAGGCACCCCTTAAATTCTTTCTTAAAAATAGTTTTTCTTTTAATCCTGGATCTAATGGATATGTATCGTTTGGTTGTTACTTTTTCACTTCTCAGATAACAGTTTCCGAAAATAGTTAGGGGCTTGTTTTTTACCTTTATTTATTTATTTTATACCTTTACTTATTCCTTCAATAAATATTTCTTAGAAGCTCATGTGTGTCAGCCACTGACCTCAGAGCTGGGGAAACATTGGTGAATGAGACAAAGTTCCTGCCTCATAAGCCGGAGACAACCAATAGTGAGCAGAGAGAAACAATAAAAAAGTAAAACACCTACATAATTTGCTATACAAATCTGATTATAATAAAAACTCAAATAATAGGTAGTGTCCCATATTCTTAATGCATAGATTCCCAGTTTCTTTTGATCAACTTGAACATACGATTACAAATGTGAATAATATAGGCAATGTTCACTTAAAGTATTTATTAACTCCGTTTTGTGTGTGTATGTATTTTATATATAATATAAAATGAAAGAGTGTTACTATTTTCCACTTATATTTCTTGAAACCATTATATACCAACTCTTTACATGCATCTTGGCATCGTTGTTTTTGACATCACTAGAGTCAGTTTTCCAGGGATCTCATACACAGTTTTCCACACAACTTGACCTTCACTTCTTTCTAAGTTACTGGGGATATGCCACTATTTGAATCTCCATATGACATTGTATTTTAACATTAGGATGTTCAAATAATTTGTCCTCTAGGGATATATTTGTGGTCTCTGCAACATAATTACAATGATGTCCAAGCAATTCTGTCATGAAGTTATAGCACAGGAAAAATATATATAAAATTTATAAAATATCATTATGTTCTCTTTTTAAAACTAATTCTGTCCGGTGATTTTTAGAAGGATTTAGAACCAGAATTAAATTAAATATTAAAAAAAATAAGATAGTTAAGAGAAGGTGCTATGATAGACTTTATAAGAAACCTAAAAAGAATTTTGTCTTTTTTTCAGGGATAATTTTTTGAGAAAAAAAATCTTTCCTTATACTTGGGTATATATGATAATGTCCTAAAATGTTAAGTGCCACAAAAGAAATAAGACATGGAGAGGGTCAGGTAGGTGTAAGGACTATTATTTCAGCTACAGAGGTCAAAGAAGACCTGTTTTAGGAGATAGCATTTGGGCTGAATGAAAAAGAGAGCCACGCAAAAATCCAGAACAAAAGGTGCTCCAACCAGGAAAAATAGCCCCCGTAAAACCTCTAAAATGGAATGAGCTCGGAAGTTGGAGGAACCCAAGAGAAGGCCTTTGTGCTTGTAGTGAATGAGGTAGGGGAATATTTGGAGATGTGGTCAGAGGTATCGGATTCAGGTCATATGGTAGGCCAGGGTTACAGAGTTTGGGTTTTATTCTAATTACAGTGGAAGCTTTTGAACCAGGAGAGTGATATGGTCGTGTGTGTGTGTGTGTGTGGTGTGTTTCTGTGTGCATGTTTAAAATTTACTCTGCATGTGGAGAAGGAAATTGATGGGGAAAAGAGGAAGGATGGTTACAAGAGTAGAATCAGAAGGCTCAGAGAGGAGGCTATTGGAATGATCTGGTTGGTTTACGGATGTAGCAGTGGAGAAGTAAAGAAATGATCATAGTTGGGATTCATTTGGGAGATGATGCTAACTGAAGTTTCTAGTGGATTGGGTATGGAGTATGGACAGAGACGAACCAAAGATAACACCGAGACTTGGCCCTGAGCATGTCAGTGAATAGTGGTGCCAGATACTAAGATGAGGAAATTTGGGGAGGATCAGGTGTGTGACATATTATTTTTGAGATGCTTATAGATACCCAAGAGATGCTGAGCAGGCAGTTGGACATACGATCAGTTCAGGGGAGATATATATGGGAGTATCTGGCATGTAGATGTTTATGGGATTGCCCGAGATCACCCACTTAGAGTTCGGTGAGAGAAAGACTGAGGCAGTCAGAGAGAAATGAGGAGTAAAAGAGCGTGGTGGCCTGGCAGCCTGGTGGAAACCAAGTGAGCAGCTATGTGGAATGCTGCTGAGCGGTGGAGGAAAATGCATCAGACAACTGACATTGGATTTGGCAAAGGATGATGACCTTGATAGAGCAGTTTCCGTGGATTGGTGAGGAGGAAGACCTACCTGATCAGAGTAGGTTGGGCAGGAAAATGGGACACAGTGGGGAGAGTGAGTAGTGCCAACTCTTCCAAGGAATATTGCTCTGAAAAGAGCAGGTAGTTGGGGGTATATCTAAGACTGGGGACATGGGCGGTCCAGGGAAAGATTAATTTTTAGATTTCTAATATTAAGGCACATATGTATGCAGGCAGGAAATGTACAATAGTTTATAATTTCATGATTTCTGTTTGTTTTTGTTTTGTTTTCTTTTTATTCATGAGAACTCTGAATTTCATCTCTTGTTTCTAGCTCTGCTTTAAAGTAGCTAAAATTTGTAATATGTCACATAAAATAAAAGCTTTATTAATTTTGACTCAAGGAAAAGAGAAAAACTATGTCCAAATTCTTGAAAATTTAATATGTTAATTATAGTAATATACCATTTTAGTTCTTGAAAATAAAATTCAAATCAGTAAACATTTCAATGTAATGATTATTTCTATGTATGTAACTCCTGCTAGTTAAAATCTTGAAAACACAGAGATGTACCAAGAAAAATGCATCGCCTGCGTGCACCTAATCTCAGCTGGTCCGCCCAAGACCCCCTGAGCGCCAACCCTATTCCCCCGCGCGGTCCCATTTCCGCTCCAACAAGATGAAAGAAACTATCATGAACCAGGAGAAACTCGCCAAACTGCAAGCACAAGTGCGCATTGGTGGGAAAGGAACTGCTCGCCGAAAGAAGAAGGTGGTTCATAGAACGGCTACAGCAGATGATAAAAAACTTCAGTTCTCCTTAAAGAAGTTAGGGGTAAACAATATCTCTGGTATTGAAGAAGTGAATATGTTCACAAACCAAGGAACAGTGATCCATTTTAACAACCCCAAAGTTCAGGCATCACTGGCAGCGAACACTTTCACCATTACAGGCCATGCTGAGACAAAGCAGCTGACAGAAATGCTACCCAGTATCTTAAACCAACTTGGTGCAGACAGTCTGACTAGTTTAAGAAGACTGGCTGAAGCTCTGCCCAAACAATCTGTGGATGGAAAAGCACCACTTACTACCGGAGAGGATGATGATGATGAAGTTCCAGATCTTGTGGAGAATTTTGATGAAGCTTCCAAGAATGAAGCAAACTGAATTGAGTCAACTTCTGAAGAACATAAAACTTGAAGAAGTTACTGGGAGCTGCTATTTTATATTATGACTGCTTTTTAAAATTTTGTTCATGGATCTGATAAAATCTAGATCTCTAATATTTTTAAGCCCAAGCCCCTTGGACACTGCAGCTCTTTTCAGTTTTTGCTTATACACAATTCATTCTTTGCAGCTAATTAAGCTGAAGAAGCCTGGGAATAAAGTTTGAAACAAGGTTAATAAAGTTCTTTGCCTAGGAAAAAAAAAATGCATCACCTATTTTCTATCATTTTGGCATTTTTTTCCATTTTAACATATATTTATAAATATTCTTTTATTTGTTAATTTCAACAAATCAGGAACTCAAGTATAGATGATGTTTAATAAACTTTTAAAACTAACAATAGTAAACATTTTCAATATTCTTCTCTGATATGATTTCCCTTATAGGGAATGAACCATTATTTATTTAATCAATCCTTTATTGTAAGATGTTTATATTGTTTCTATGAATAATTTAAAGGTTACGTGTATTTAAAACTACACACACACACAACCTATACACAAATGCATATTCATACATGAACACATGCATATACACATGAACTCAAATCATTTACTAAGTTAAACACATTGTTAGGCTAAGAAACTCTATCCCCATTTCTGGTGACAAGCCAGGGCCTGTGAATGCTATGTTTATTGCATGTAACATATGCATGCTGTGGGTTATTTGAGTAGGTGTGTCTAGATTTTTATATTTCAAAGTTAATAGATTTGCTGAATTTTACATGCATATTTACGTGAATTTTTGCATGCAAACTCCATATGCATTTTTCAAGTAGTGTTCTGCAAAATGCCATTTTTCCTTGTCACCTGCTAAACCAATGGGTGAGGGTGGTGGCGGGGGGAGTCTTCAAAGAAGTTTGGGGAATGCTAGGTTAAATAAAGTTAGCCGACTTTTTTTACAGCAGGAGTTCACATTTATCAAAACAACCTCCTTACTGTTTACAGTTTTTGCCATGTAGGGAGAGGAAATGAATATATGTGGATTGCTATGGAAAGGTACAAGGAGCAGACCTAATATTTTGGTCTGGAATTAGCCTTTGAATAAGATCACCTTTTAAGTAGTTGAAAGAACAGGATATGCTAATAATTCATTTTGACTTTATTTTGTGATTATCATGAAAATTGCTTGACTTAAAAATGTTCTCTTTTTTCCTTAAGTGAAGCCTGATCCCCCATTAGGTTTACATATGGAAATCACAGATGCTGGCAATTTAAAGATTTCTTGGTCCAGCCCAACATTGGTACCATTTCAACTTCAATACCAAGTGAAATATTCAGAGAATTCTTCAACAAATATGAGAAAAGTAAGTATAATTTAATAAAATGAAAGGTTGAGAAACAACTAGAGACCCTTTCCAGGTCCAGTAGAAAATGCCCTGTGCATGCCAAACATGCATGGTCCTCCTAGAGCTGAATCAGCTGTAATTTAATATTATATCACTGGCTTTCATTTACGATCAGCATAGGACATGACCACATGAACCACATGTCCGTATCTTCGGTAAACGCTTTTGGAGAAATTGTGTGATGTCGCACAATATCTCTTATGTATGGATCCTTGTTATATATTGAGGAGTGTGATAAATTCCTCCCAGACTTTAGTGCCAGAGAAAGTTCCAAATTCCTCTTCCAAAAAAAAAAAATTATGTTAGATTAATAACTTTCTCTGTCTCTCCCTCTCCCTCCCTCTCTCTCTCTTCCTTAAACACACACACACACACACAGCTAAATGGCTACGGGAAGTCCAGTTACAGAAACTTGAATTCATAATTACAATTTTCTCACCTACAGACCTCTGATTTCTGATTTTACGATTACAGCTGTTGTTTTATTGCTCAACATACTTACTTGCAGCACACGCATTTGTAGTATAAGGTCTGTCAGATTCTTTTTGCATTCTTTCAGTATTTATTGAGGACCTACTAGCTGCTAGGAACTGTTCTGTTTGCATCAGGATGCACTGAGTGGTAGAGCTAACGGGTGCTGGTAGAGCTGGTAGGTTGTAATATTAAGTGGAGGTGGGGAAGACCTCATGGAAAAGCTGACATCTGAGCAAGGCTCTGAAGGAGGTTAGTGAAGTAGATATCTGGGGTAATTAGTTTCCAAAGAGAGAAGACAGTAATTCAGAGGCCCTAAGCCGGTGAGAAGCTGGAGGCTGGGGTAGGCAGTGAGGGCAAGAGTTGCAGTGGGTGAATCAAAGAGGAGCAGGAGAGGCGAAGGAGGACGTCAGAAAGAGCATGGGCCAAGCGTGGACTTCGGCATTTTCCTTTGTGAAATGAATTGTTACATAATTTAGAAGTAAAAACCTGTCTTTGTACCTCTGGGCCACTTTTGTAAAGACTTTATCTTCATTAAGAGCAGAAAATAATCCTTGGTGTGTCCTGTGTGGGAAAAGCAGAGTTAAGGCTTCTTTGGGCTTCAGCTTTCTCATCTGCAAAATGGAGACAATAGGATTTGAAATCTAGGTGACCTGCTATTGTAGAATACATTTGTGGTGCTTTTCACCCTTTTGGTCTCTGGAACCCCAGTTTAAGAGGCCAGGGATTTCAATAACTTTGGAGTACGTCATTGGAAAACAGAATGTATTTGCTAAGCGATTCTTTTTTTTTTTTTTAAGATTTTATTTATTTATTTGACAGAGAGAGACAGCGAGAGAGGGAACACAAGCAGGGGAAGCAGGAGAGGGAGAAGCAGGCTCCTCTCTGAGCAGGGAGCCCGATGTGGGACTCGATTCCAGGACCCTGGGGTCATGACCTGAGCCGAAGGCAGCCGCTTAACAACTGAGCCACCAGGCGCCCCCCTAAGGAATTCTTAATAGTTGTTGTTTCATGCAGAATTAGGTCTTTTAGATATTTGCCCTCTAGTTTATAAACTGTATTTTGATTTACTATAGCTTATCAGGTTCAGGTTCTTAAAATTATTCACGCCTCCTCTATGACACTTTCCTCTAGGAATGTTTCTAATTCTGTGTCCGCTCCTGCTCATCATTTTCTACCAGGTGTGTATTATAGATGTCAGCAGGACCTTGAAACTCCCTGCTGATTTTAGCTGTACCTCTTAAATTTCACAAGGTCAATATTCGTTATCATTCAGTTAAAAATATCTGCTGATTATCATTGTGATTTTCTTCTTGGACTTGTGGGCTATTTAAAATTTTATTGACAGTGGCATCTGGGTGGCTCAGTCGTTAAGCGTCTGCCTTCAGCTCAGGTCATGATCCCAGGGTCCTGGGATCGAGTCCCGCATCGGGCTCCCTGCTCAGCGGGAAGCCTGCTTCTCCCTCTCCCACTCCCCCTGCTTGTGTTCCCTCTCTCGCTGTGTCTCTCTCTGTCAAATAAATAAATAAAATCTTTAAAAAAATGTATTGACAAAGGTGCAAACATTTGTTACTTTGTTACTGATTTCCATTTAATTCCACCGTGGCCGGCCAACTATTTTGTAAGACTTTCATTCTTTGAAATTTGTTGGGACTGCTTGTTCTCAATTTTGATGAAGGTTCCATGTCAACTTGATGCTCTGATGTTTTCAAACAATATTTAACAGGCTGATGAAATTGTCTCAGCTACATCTCTGCTGATAGACAGTGTGCTTCCTGGGTCTTCATACGAGGTTCAAGTGAGGGGAAAGAGACTGGATGGCCCAGGAATCTGGGGTGACTGGAGCACCCCTCTTATCTTTACCACACAAGGTAGGTTTTGTAATAGTAGCTCCTATCGAGAGGAGAATATGCTTCCTGATTTTTCCCTTGGCCTGTTATAAGCATCTTAAATTTTGTAGCAGTAAACCAAAAGGAGGGACACAATATTAACGTTTTATTTAAGTGTTGGCAGGTTACTTTGTGAATGAAAACGTGTAAAAAAAACTTATATAAGAGCTCCCAAGTTTATGTGCGTACCTAGTAGTGTCTTGCTGAATTACTCTTACCTATTCAAAAGATAGACTTAATAGAAAGGTTCCAAATTCACAAATTCAGAACGCTACTGGTATCAGTGTTTCCTTAATTTACATTTAAAATCAGATATATTTATTTGACATAAATTCCAAATATTCAAATTTCATTCAATTATTATATTTTATATAATATAATAAATAATAACATAATGAAATAATTCTTTTCACTCCAGATGCTGGCTTTTGAGAGTTTTCACTTTCAATTTTCATGTTTTTAATCTTTAACATCAGAAAAACTATGGTTTATTCAAAACTTCCTCATGAAGTTGAGATGGTGGTTTACAAATAGTCCCAGGAGCCTTAGAATAGTCCAACCCTGTCATATGCTAACTTGTGATGCTAGGAAGAGACTTCAGGGTTCTTTGCCTAGTTGTCTGATCTATCAAAAGAGCAAAATTATTCCTACTGAAACAGGTTGATTATGAATATATAGAGACAGCAAGTCCCCTGAAAATCACTAAGCAGTCAACACATTTGATGAAATAAGTTCATTTATTGGTTACTTCCTATTTAAAAAGCATTGACTTGTCAAAAAGCCAGTAGCATTAGTGGTTTAAGAGCACAGACTTTGGAGTCTGACAAAATCTTATGCAGGTACTGGCCTCACCACTTATTTGGAAAGTTTCTTCACCTTTCTATGCCTCAATTGCCCCATCTGCAAAATGGGGACATTTTTATTATGGATAGAATGAAACAGTGCACCTGCTGTGCTCACTGCAGTGCCTGACCTTTAGTAAGCACCCAGTAAACAGTAGATGCAATCATAGTTTGCAGATCCACAATCTCAATATTCAAAATCTCAGCATCTAATGAAGGTTTCAGGTTGACAAGATACATAACTAATTGCATGAGCAAGCTTGTCAGAAGAGCTAGTAAAGTACTAGGCAATGGGAAGGACTGGTTCTCACCAGGAAAGCCAGGAACCTTCTGTGAACAGATAGAAATCCATAGAAGACATGGGTTTCTCCTCATGATTCCTCAGATAGTTATTGAGCATCACAATGTGTGTGCTGACGACTCAGCTTCTGGAATTTTTCAGAGGAAGGTTGGTCATCTTTTCTACCTTCAATTATTTATCGTTGATTAATAGGTCTTAATGACCAGTGGTGAACTATGTATTATGTAATTATGAATAAATTACGACATCAACTTTTAAAGAATGTCCCGTGGAGGTTTTTAAGAGAACGGGATGGGGTAGGGTGGGTGGCAGAGGAGGCTAGTAACCCTGACTCCCACCCTGAGTGGGATGGCTTTCTTCTTTGTGATTTTACTTCTTAAATAGATCTGAAAACCTACCCTCCCTGAAGAAGAGGGAAATTCTAAAAGGATCATTATTATTTTTAAGGTTTGCTAATATTCAAGTTATATATTATAACTTTCTAGAATAATGATTCTTAGCAATTCTGTATTCAGTGGGGTTAAGATGAACATTCTGATCCAGTATAATATAATAGTTATTTGTGTTACATTTCATGTAAGTTTTTGTTTTGGATTGTTCAACTTAGGTTTTTAGATCTTTGGATGGACATAGTTTTAGTTCTGTTTTACTTAGTACAAACCTATTTAGACTACTATTACTTTCTTAGTTCACGTCAATATCTGTAGGATTAAATTTGCTTGGTTTTAATATGTTGGACCGCATTTATATGTTTTTATACATAATATAAATCAGATTTATTAATATATATTATAAAGCACATACTATATATATATATATATATATATATGTTTTTCCCTATGCAAATATTTAGGGTTTTGTGTACATGACAGTAATAAAGATATGTTTTGTTGAAAAGAAACTTTGCCAGTTTACTTGCCAAAGTGTCTAACAATATTGCAGTTAACACTGGGCCTTTTACTTATTCGCCACAGGTGTGTCCCTCTAGTGACTTTAGACATCCCAAATAGAAATATCTGATAGTAAGTGAAAAATAAATCCAGACAGTAAGTAAATAGCTCCCCCAAGGGCAGAATTTGTTGATTTAGCAATGAGTGTAAAGGTAAGTTTACTAATTTAACGCTTGGATGGGTTAGATGCCAGTGAGTGGTACCAGGTGATTATTAAGGGAAAGACAGAAACTTGACAAATATAAAGGAGACTAGGGACACCAAGTGCGGGGGAAGAGCCTTCACACTTCAGTAGCTCCCAAGCACGTTTCTCTGTTATAGGATCGCCTACAGTAACAATGTAATGATGGGTACTGAATCACAAATCAAAGGTATAAGTAGGTTCATACTTCCCTACTGAATAATAATGATAATGATTGATAATGACAGTTATGGAGTGCTTCCTGTGTTTCAAGCACTGTTCTAAGTGCTTTACATATATTATCATTTTATCCTTTTGATCCCCTGTGAGATAGGTACTGATATTCCCCTTTCGCAAAGAAATCGGGACTTAGAGAGGTTAAGTACATTGTAAAAGCTGACACAATCTAGAGCTGGCAGTCTAATTCCAGAGTCATGTTTGTTCGCACTAATACAGTGATTAAATGCTTGACATATGTTTATGTCACCAAAAATTGATCCTGGGCACTAATCAGCGGTAAGCTTAATTACATAGAGCACTGTAGCGGAACACCTCATTTCCTTCATGGTTCCTGATAAATGAGGTTTCAGCGTTGCTTGGGTTTTTCAGGTCTCAGGTGTGCTGAGTTGCCTTCGCAGCAGTTCCCGCATCCCCCAGTGCTTACAGCACTGGAGGCTTGTTCTTGAACCGTGTGCACCAGTGAAGTATGTTTCTCCAAACTTGGGAGCTTCCTCTTCTTATGTAAAAGGATTTGGGTCCTTCTGCCTTAAACCTAGGTATTTAATATTATTAGATTATCCTCTGCTGTTCATTGTTGGCATCCACAAAACAGAAACGTCTGTAAGACTGAGGCATTAACTTACTTAGAATGAATTAGCACATCTACTTTATCATTTCCAAACACTTTGGATTTTATTGATTTTTTTTTTTTTGGAACAGAGACTGTCTGATGTATTGTGCCAGAGCAAACAGATGCTAATTATCAGTGCCTTTATAGCTACTACTTATTGTTCAATGATTTTTTTTTGTTCATTGATTTATTAAAGCTGTACCTACCAAGTACACAGTTAATGAAGCATTGACCATTTTTAATCAAGGAATTCTTACGGATTTGGGAGATCTTGGACTCTTACAAGAATACCCGGGACCTTGCCAGAACTTAAGAAGTCCCAGAATATTGAAATTAAGTTATGCTACATACTGAAAATAAGTTTAGAAGTGCTGACTTCTTGTAATACCTTTCTTTTTTTTTGTGATACCTTTCTTAATTGCAATCTTGTGCTGCCAGAGAGGAGGAGAAACAGATAATTTCTACATTTCATACTTGACAGTGCTTGTAATGTATTAGAGAAAATATTTTCCCCGTAAAGAAAAATAGGAAATCTGCTTTGAAAATTTAAAAATCCAATTTCTGGTGCTATAATAAACACATTTTAAAATAACTTTAACTAAGATGTTTTGATTTATGATTTATGTTCATTTGAGTAATTCACTAATATTTATCAATAGAATTTCTTCTTTTAATGAAATTCGTTAGTGTAGATTCTGCAAAACTATTAGTACTTAGTCATGAGAAGAAAATTATTTCTTATTTTACAAATTAAATATTGTGTATCTCACACGAGAATAAAATATATATTTGTATTATTTTGAAAATTAAATATTTAACATTTACTTCATATCAATTTCTATATATTCAGTGTAAATTTTACAAAATCAGGTCTTTAATAACTTGCTTTTATTCTTTTTAAGCTAATATTTTAGTATTTAATCATGCCAAAATACTATGACTTTAACTGTATTTCTCAATTAAGCCTTAGGCATTCAATTTTGAAGTGAGGTGCTTTGACATTTTTATTATCTTTAAAAGATTCAGCTTAACTTTTGAAATCTTATTTGTACTCTTTAAAAAAATAAATTACTCTTAGACTTTTGAAGCAGTTCAGTAATGAGATGTGGAGCATATTGAAAGTAGGTTAATGATCTTTCAGGTCTGTGCTAGGTACTTGGGTGTAGTAAGTAATGTGCCAATGAAGCTTGAGTGTCACTCTAGGCTAGGATTATAAATCTAACGGACTGGCTTCTGTCCAGTGATTTCATGCTACTAAAATTTTTCCTGTTTATGCTTGACTGTAGAAATACCAAGTACAAAGGTTTTGTATGGATTGTAAATATAAGGACAGGGGAGTTTAGCTTGCTATTACAAAAAAGAAAAAACTTAAATAATAAAAATCAATGAAGTTTTTTGTTTTTGTTCTGGGGGTCATCCGGATGATATGTATGAAAACAGATACTCATGTTCTTTCAGCAGAAAATGGCCTACCTTAAATTGCACAACTGAAATATACTGTTTTTGTAATGTATTGTGGCAGAAATAATTTCTTCCTATGTAAACAGTCATTTACTTTTATTCTGTTTCTAATTAAAAATATAGGCAAACTATGTTTCCAACAATAAGGGACCAAAAAAGTAGTATGGAAGAGTGTAGAGGCCTTAAAAATAATATTTTAGAGAAATATTGGTTCCCCTTGTCCTTTTTTTTTATTTTTTTTAAATAATTTTTTTATTGTTATGTTAACCACCATACATTACATCATTAGTTTTTGATGCAGTGTTCCATGATTCATT